GCTGCTGCTACTACTACTGCTATTACAATGTATGAGTACATGTACCTTTTTTCTTAAAGGGACCATCTTAAACGGAAATAACTCGGTCATTTGTGAGACAATTTCAATAAAACTGACGGTATATTTTTTAATAATAAAAAAAAAATAGCCCATTCGTTCGAAAACTATCACATTTTTAAAATTTCAATAAAAAAAGACCTAAAGGCAAACCTTGCAGTAGAGTCTACTTCTTACAAATCAACCACATTGTTCTATTTCAAATAATCACTATTTTTGCATTGAAGAAACAGTAGATCTGATACTAAATTGATTACTACATAACTCAAAGAAGGTATTGGGTATTTAAATCACCAGGTGTAGACCATTTTATTTTCCCGTGCGCCACTGGAAATTTTGAATAACCCTGTGACATGTTTCTGTGCCGATTCTTTCGACGTCTTGTCAACATTAAGTTTCAACTGTCCGATTGTTTGTGTGTTGATTCCCTAGACTCTGTCAAACCCCCCAAAGGTAATAACTGAACGGGGTCAAGATTGGGAAAATGTGGTATCCATTCATTTGTAAATTTTCGGCGTTCCCCAAACATTTCTTGGAACCATTTCTTTCAGGGCCTCTCTTGATGTGTGTGTCGTGACCCCATCCTACTGGAACCAGGCCTGTACGGTATAACATAGTATTCTCCCCTAATGTCTCCAAAACTTTCTCGGCACATAGATATCTATCTGAGGTGACTGTTTGTGGCTTTACTGTCCTTGTCTTGCAACCAATAAGGGCCGATCACGCCCCATGTAGCTCAACATTTATTTATAAGGAATACAAATTTGCGTTTTACCCATTTTTGCTTGAAATTTTTAAAACTTGATATTAACTCTCGCACGCATCTATTGATTTTCTTCATATTTACAGACTTGACTTCCTCAGGGTTGAATTTATATGTTCCAATTTTTGTTGAAATTAGTGTAGATCTAGGGACGAGTGAGTTCTTACCCTTCATATTGGTCCTCTTTTCTTTTAGACACACTGTACTGCTTAATTTGTCGTTTTCGTGCTTCAACCCTTGCGTCTCTGGACTCCTTGTGTAATATCAAGCCACTGTACAGCCGGTGTTTCCCACACTACAGTTTTTCCTTTCTTTGCTTTTAAAAAAAGTTATTGTTATAGTTTGTTTTCTTTTCTTTGGGTCACGCAAAACAATGACATGCAGTATAAAAAGCCAGGAAACGCACCGTCCTTCGTGTTGACGTTAACAGATCTTCTTCAAACTGTACCAAGGTTGGTTCGCCTGTTTTAAATCTGCCCTCGTACTCAAGATGTCTGCCGCTCTGCAAGTTTTCCTCTTGGTCCTTTTCACCGTTGCATGTCTTGTGCACCTAGCTGCCGGTAAGGAAAATCTAAAAACATTATATACTTTTACTTTCATGATTAGTGTACTAAATGTATTTCTGGATGCGTTTACAGATACTCAGTAAATAAACAGAACAGGGAACTATTTAAAATAAAAAAATTAGTGATAAAAGAACAGAATGCTAAAGAGGTACATTTATACCAACATAATTTATTTACTTAGACTTAGAGAGTCTTAGGAGACTGCTAAGAATATCGTGGAAGTAAAAGAAATCAAATGAGGTAGTTCTTGATAAAGATAAAGCCCACGTGGGACACTCACTGTTAAAAACAACCAGGAAACGACATTTGTAGTTTTTTTGGACTCGGGAATAGACATAGGGTCTTGAACATCTAGCTCTCACTGGCAAAATTGAAGGCAAACGAGGCAGGAGTAGGCCCAGAGCAAACTACTAAGGGAACCTAAACAAATTGGTAATGGGGAAAGATCAGTGAAACGTAGCTTTTTTAAGAGCATCCAACAAAGGAATGAATGGAGAACCATGAAAACCGATGTCTGTCGCAGATCTGGCACAAATAATTTGTCGTTTGGAAAAAAAGATTAGGATAATATTAAACTTTTGGAGGGTATCCAAGCAGAAAAATAAAGGGCGAACCGTGATTGCCTATACATGTATCTATTTTAGATTTGGACTTGAAGAAAAAAAAATACCGGCGGTGTGTCCATGGGAAAAGCACTGAACACTAATTCCCTCACTTCAGCTAGGTGGGAATGGGTACCCGATTGTACACCACGAAAGACCTTGCGAGTCTGTTTGTGTTTGAGCGGTTAGTCGGCTGCTTGCTCTCTATGCTTCATGGGAAGCCGAGAATGTTTCCACGTGTTTTAGCGTTTGGTGGTAAAATATAGGCTTTAAAAAGCACGTTAAGAGGAGATATACGCCATACAAATTTTAAAGCTAATTATTATTATTTATCATTACCTGTAGTTTTAATTCAGTACTCTACAACTCGGCTTCTCTTTCTTCAGCTAACGCATGCATGTGGTACAACTGCGGCCCCAAAGGAACCTGCTTCGTCAGGAGCAGTGGACCCTATTGTCACTGTGACGACGGCAGCCTAAAAGCTACTTGCAATTAACTCTTAAATCAAATAAGTCATGGTGTGTTGGAAGAGCGGTTTAAAATAAAGTTGCCCCCCCCCCCTCCTTTCCGGCACCATCGTTTGGAACAGCTGAGACATAGTGTGCAACAATCAGGGTCACTGGGAATTTCCCCGTGAAATCGTAGACAAGTCTTTCAGCAACAGGAAACAGAGCACCATAAACGTCTTTGGGCGGAAGGGGGTAGGGTGTAAATTTACTTTGACCCAAAAGACCTTTAGAACTGCTCTCTCCCTCACCCTATAAGCGACGTCTATTCTGAAACAGCGGAAGAACATCCATTTGCCCAAACCTCCAAACTCCCCTCTCAAAGACTATAATATGATCAGAAAGACCATTTTCTCTTCAACCACAGACGACTTTACGTGACCTCCACTCTGTGTTATTGTTATAATATTGGTTAAACGAAAAAACGGAAACTGTTTAGTCCCTTGTTCATTAATAAATCGGTCGGAAGTATTAGAATTGAGCAGTGTTGTTGCAATGTGTTGTTTATGTGGACTCTGACAAAGAGTGAAAATGAATTTATTTCATATTCGTCTCACAGGGAGAAATTTGTCTTGATCGTTTACAATGACAGTGTTATTACAAAGGTCATGACTGCATCTATCAACACAATTTTGATCATTCAGATGGAAAAGAGTTTCTTCGATCCTACTGCCTGTGAGGGCCAGCAAGGGTAACGGTGAAACGACGTTTCTGTGTACAGATATACTCTCGAGCTTGCCTCGTTCTCTCTCTCTCTCTCTCTCTCTCTCTCTCTCTCTCTCTCTCTCTCTCTCTCTCTTTATACCTTGTCTGATGATAGTCCAACAGCTGATATCCGTTGGTCAAATGGACCCGATCTTCGTGATCAAATCGAATCGGATGGGGTCTAATAATGAAGGCTAAATACAGGAGACAACAACCTGACCACAACTTTGTTTTTTGTTTTGCCGCTCGCAACTCGCTACCCTAAAAATACAAATTTCTATCTGCTCAGTATCAGTTTTGAGAAATTTGACGTAAAAAAATGTAAGTTTAAAACAAGTCAAACTTTTAAAAAAAATGCAATTCAATAAATATCGTGATAACGACTCCGAAGAATCTGACGCTTTCGATAGAGCAGATAGACAATTTTGTTTCTGGCCTCATGACCATAGTTACTCAAAATGGCAAAAACAATGTCAGATAGAACTTTGTAATTCCAAGGTAGCGAACTGCATAATAAGGTCATAATAATTTAAACGCACGTACCACATCTTTGCTATTCAGATTTGACCCGAAGTGTTTTAGGGCTTATCCCATTCCAAGAGCAAACAAAACAAAACATCTGACCCTGCAATGTCTAAACGTCTTCTGATTGTTTCTTTTTATATTTTACCGAACTTTTTAAAAATGTAGGTCCATCGGCACAACTGAGATCCTTTAGGGATAGGAGGTAGGCTTCCGATCATACGTGTCAGAGACAAGCAAGGCTGAGGGGGATACACTATTCCAGCTGAAAGACAGAGATGCTCGATAAGAATTTTATCCCAACTCGGGAATTGAACTCGAGGTTCCTATATGCAACAGCGTTACACAGCAGACGCTTGTTTTCAGGGGCGAAGCGTCTATATAATCAAATAATCACTGCTCCCCTTCCTAATTTTGAAACATTGTCGCTGTCAAATTCATCCATAAAAGTAAACCTCTTAAATTATATGTAAAAAAGACGTTCGTAATCAACAATGAACAGTATGCCTAACATTCAAAACGGTTTCACGGCCACAGAAATAGCCTCCACACCCCTCTCGGGCCACTCCATAAGCAGTCGCAAGCTTTAAGTAAGCTTAAAGTGAGGCTGGAAGAGTCTACCAATAGAGTTGAAGGGAACATGTGCATAGCAGTCAAAGCTGTTTCATCACAGTTATAATCAATCACAAGCCCTGATTATATAAGCTAACTAACACTGGTCGAGTCTACCTCACAAATGTGAGGGGAACTAACTCCTAATAATCTCTTGACTGCTGCATGTGCTTGTTTTTTTTTCCTTGACTTTTTACCGTCCTATAATCAGATCGTGACCTCGATTATGATACCAGCTCCTGGCCGCGAAAGGCTAACAAAACCAGCCAAATGTGAAATTTAAAAAATGATAATTGTCACGTTCTACCAAAGAGTTAGACTCACTAGTAGATCTATAACATATAGATCTAGTACTGACATCTCTGCTTTTTTGCTTTGTGTTTATGTATTCACATCTAAAGTTAAATTTAATTTTAGTTGGAACTGATATTTAACAAGATACTTTCCCGATTATTTTGGCGGTTGAGCATACAATATGAATTCCGGATTTGTTTTCATTCACAACTCAGAGTCGCCGCCTCGAGTAAGATTCTTGTGTGATATCTACAGGCCATATCTGGTCCCGTTTCACTTTGATTACCCTGTCAAACAAGTCAGCCTTCGCCCCTGTTTGTTTTATCAAACTGTCAAACCTATCAAAGGGCAACCTAACAAAAAATGAAACAATTTTTACCCAGCATCATTTTGGTCAAATAATGGCCAGATGTTAGCTTTTCCCCTCAATGATGGGAAAGAAAATCTGGTCGCCTTCAAATTATGTATTAAATATTTGCTTGTATTTCTATAAGTATTAGTTACAGTTTTAAGGCAGGCACTTGAAACACAATATAAGTGCCGAAGACTAGAGATGTTTCGAGCGAGTAACAAACACAAAAAAGAAGGAGGAGCGAAAAGGACAATAGATGTTTGGTAGGAAAGAAGGAGCAAACCACACCAGAGTACTTGCCAACTACCTACTTATCAAATGTATCAAACGGAGATTTGGTGAAAACCTTCAGCAGTAAGATGCTCTTGTTTGAGTAGAAGTTTCCAGCCGTTTGATCAAGTAAACTGAGCTGGTGGTTGAGGACCGCACTGCTGGCTCCTAGTTCTTTTCTTTCCCTCTTTTGATTCTGTCTGTCTGTCTGTCTGTCTGTGTGTCTGTCTGTCTGTCTGTCTGTCTGTCTGTCTGTCTGCCTGTCTGCCTGTCTGTCTGTCTGCCTGTCTGTCTGTCTGTTTGTCTATCTGCCTGTCTGTCTGTCTGTCTATATGTCTGTCTGTCTGTCTGTCCTACTCTTCTCCTGCACTAAATGATTGTTACTATGTCAATGTTCTTCTTTTTACTCAAAATTCAAACGAACAAAAGTACAAACAAATTATACACTTGAGTCAGATTTCTTATACATTTATGGCAAAAAAACCTAATCACAAATTTTATCAGCCTTAATGATTTTTCACAAGCACCCAGTGCAATTACCCTAAATGTGGGATTGCAACACCCAACTTACTATTTTAAAATATGGCATGAGCTACATTGTCTTAAACAATTTGGAAAAAAAAAGTAACAAAGTGTCGCTAAATGCACAAAGAAGGAATTACAATAATTTTGATTGAGACTGAACAGGAAATACGAGGAATACTTTGGTTACAACCTCAAACAAATAACAACTGACGATGCCAAGTTTTTATCTCTGATCGTATGTACATGTACATAATACTATGGTCTTACATAGCAACATCACGAAGGACACGATAAATAATTCATATCATAATACTAATACAGAAGCGCTTTTTGACATTGATTGAATTTTTGCATTTCATTCCATTGCCATACATACACTCACATTCACACAGAGACACACGCACACACACACTCACACACACGCACACACACACACACACACGAACGTATATATGATATAAAATATATATAATTATATAATATATATCTATAATTATATATGTATTTATGTACATATTATACATATAATGCTGCTGCTGCTGCTGCTGCTACTACTACTACTACTACTACTACTACTACTACTGCTGCTGCTGCTGCTGATGATGATGATGATAATAATAATAATAAAATAGTTATAGAAATCTAATGATAATGATAATAATAATATGTTATTATTATGATAATAATGATAATAATAACAATAATAATAATAATAATGATGATGATGATGATGATGATAATGATGATGATCATGATGATGATGATGGTGATAATGGTGATAATGATGTTGGTGATGATTACGATGATGATGACGACAACAGCAACAATAATAATAATAATAATAATAATAATAATAATAATAATAATAATAATAATAATAATAATGATAAAGGTCACGTCCATCGCACCCAACCACTGGCGGCTCTAGTTGATTCACAATAGAATTGGACTTAAATCAACGTTCCATCCATACTGTCCCATTCAACGTCCAACAATTTTTTCAAATACATAATATATAGGCTTGTGATCTGACGAAGAAAACATACACATAGGGACAATCACTGTCGCGACAGGTCCCACTTGCTGTTGGAAAAATAATGTAAGTAGTTAGTACAATGAGATTTAAATGAACGTGCTTTTTAGAAGAGATATGAGTGCGGTCAAAGTAAGAGCCTGTCTTAAATGCAGTGGGACTGAGTTCCACACTGAGGGAGCAGCTGTCGAAAAAAGCCCTACCTCCGTTTTTTTAGGGGGGGGGGGATGTTTTTCAAAGCACAGTCTTGAGTTGTTCTTTAAAAAAAAAAAATTAATGGATCGTAATTTTGGAGAAGGAATTTACTCATGTAGTTAATTAGAAAGATATTGTGGTGCCAGATGGTTTAAACCCTATAGGACATTATTATAATTTTGTAATAAGTACGGGCTTTAACACGGGGTCAATGTAGCTGTAAAAGCAACTGTGTTGTATTTTCTGTTAAAGGCCTTTTGAGAACATTTTATATACACTCAGCAAAAGAAAAAAAAGAAAATCATAGATCGCCCCACTGTACAATGTATTAGAGAACTCACAAAATGCCTTGAGAATCGAAGGTACCCGACTTCCTCGATTCAGCACTGTTGAGTGTGTGTCACATGACTTTACCGAGAAGCTCCACTGCAGGGAGAAAATTAACGTCAAATTATTAGGACGTAAAAACAACAACAACAACAACGACAACAACTTCAACAAAAACAACAACAACAACAAACCCCAACAACGACAGCAACAACAACAACAACAACAACAACTACAACAAAACCCAACCCCCTCCACCCCCCCCTGGCAAAAAAGCAAACAACAGCAACAATAACAACAGCTTATGTGCTTCATTTTATCTCGCGTGAACAATATGGTGAGCAAAATAGTATTTCTTGGGTACAGTTCACCCTTGGTTAGGGTAGGCCAAAAGTGCTGCGATGAGAACGATACTAGAGCCCAGCGCAAGGAACAGATGAAGAGCCATTGGAAGATTGCAAGCTGGGCAGAGCGCAACTAGGGGCTTAAAATATATGGATGTTGCTACGTCACCAATTTGTCGGCTTTGAAGGCGTTTCCAAGCTACCAGAAACATTCACAATGCGAACAGAACTGGCTGTCTTTGTATGATCTATGACGTCAGCTCGCCAAGACCGCGCCATTCTACAAAATCACCACCGT